TACAAAACAAGCCTCTATAGTTTAAATAAGACTAATCCAGGGGGCAAATAGTCTTTTGAAAGAAGGCATATGAAGTGCGGTACTGCTGCATCACATAAACCCTGCATAGAGCAATGCACAAATAAATACTGTGCCTTTGACTTGAGGGTGTGCCACGGTTTTGTTTTCCTTCTTTCTAGTTTTGGCCCTGTTCTTGGCCTCAAAGGACTGTACTTTTCTTGTGAGATTAAACTTTTACAACAATTAGGCTAAATTTATTCGAGTAGGCCTACTGTGGAGTGAATTTGAGGTACTTGTACAATACTTGAGAGTTTTCTGTTACCCTATCCTATCCTCCTGCTGCACTACATTTCTTATGAGTATATTTTGTGCTTGCTGCAGTGTGTTGTAGTTACTTTTAAGTGTAAGATTTAAAATTAAAAAAAAAACAAATGATGCAATTAAACATGATTCATTACTTATTTAAAGTTATAAATTGTTTTTGGCTAGTAACAAGTTCGGTCCTGATGAAGAGGCAAATTGGTAACAGTTCACCATAGAAAAGTTCAGATACATGTTTAAGGCAAAAAGAAAGCAAAGAAAAAGAAAGGCAAAACATCCAATACTTAAGAAAGAAGTGATGGAAATGTATCTTTAACCAAATCTACCTGAATGTATTAATAACAGTTAGGCCTACAACAGCGCTGACCTGACCAGACACAACAGTCAAACGCTACTTACCCAATGATGCACTGATCCTTATTACAAGTAATTACTTTTTTATAAGTAGCTGGATTTTTCAGTGCTGGTCTGTCTTTATTAGCATGTAGCCTATTTGTATTCTTGTGTTGATAATTTAATTCCTAGCAAATTTCTGAAATTCTTGAACTACAGATTAGCTTTTTTAAGAGTAGGCTAAGATTAATATCACAGTGTCATTGACCTAGCTAATATAGAAAGTTACAGCCAGAAACTTGTCTTAGTATAGCATAAAAACCGCAAACAAGGTAAAACCTTGTTGTTGCTGCAGCTCCCGTTTCTGAGCGTACCTGAATGCATCTCTCATTGTCTGAGCACCCCTGAATGCAGCACGCTAACAGCGCATCCCCTGAGTAACAGCAGAGAGAGAGACATGCCCAGAAAAGTCTGAAGTCAAGTAAGCAGACTACTTTACTGTGTGTGTGTGTGTGTGTGTGTGTGTGTGTGTGTGTGTGTGTGTGTGTGTGTGTGTGTGTGTGTGTGTGCGTGCGTGCGTGCGTGCGTGTGCGTGCGTGTATGTGTGTGTGTGTGCACGACACAGAGAGCAGAGGAGAATTGTAAACGCGCCACCATGCAGAGACAGAAATGACATGCCGTCATGTAAATAAGATAAATAACATGAGGCTATTTAGTTTGTTTAATAAAAGGAGGAGGTAATAGACCTGTTCTATAAGAAAGGTATCCTTATGACTTCTGTTGTGATCTGGCGCTGTATAGAAAATAAAATGACACTGGGCTATATGCCGTCGTCTCCCCTGAACTGGCAACTTCAGTGCAGTAGCCTATTTGATCCACAGGTGAGCAGAGACCGACACAGATGTCAACACCAGAGGGCACTCTGGTACAACAACTCAGAGCTAGAACACCCGACACCCCGGTAAGAGCTTAAAGCTGCTGATATGTGGGATAGGTGACTTTGAGAAAGAAACAGGAGAGGGATAGGATTAAGGAAACATTAGAAGCCATTTATAGGTTTTCTTACCTTTGATGACGCCAAGGGCCAAAGAGAGCGGCCTGCACACACATCTTCTCAAATTGAGGCTTACCTGTGCAAGTAGAGTAGTCTACTCAAACCGCAGTGCACATTGTGGTTAAACCACAGGGCCATGCTCCTGTGGGTGCATGATGATGCTATTTCACGACATATGGAGACTCTGTTAATGTCCTGATGTAGCCTATGTAAAGGCAAATCATTGCTTCATAACTGTAAGACTACAAGTCAGACTAAAAAGTACTGTGAACAGACGAAAGGTTAATGGGCGCAGTAGATTTTTTTAGTGCATGATGACATTAAGAGGCAATATTTTAGTTGCTGTAGGTTTCCTCAGTCATCAAGTTTTTTTTTTTAATTCACTGCAATAATGATGCACTGTGGGAAACATCAAGACACTATAGGAAGAACAAGAGCGGAAACTATTTCTATCCTAATCAGGAGTTTCATTTTATTGCTTTAACAGAACACCCACATGTGATTTAACTGCTCCCAACCTGATGAGTAAGAGAAGAGGTTTTCTCATAATGTCAGTAAGAGCAATCTTCTCCTCCATGTGACTGCTTTCTCTTCAGCCCTCTGAGGCCGGATGAGTCCCCACGATAAACATTTTGGAGATTCAAAATTGCCCAGAAGTGATTTTGGGATGTACTATCCATGTAAGAAGATCTCTGGTTCTCAAACTATAAAAGCCAATAAGTTACATAAGTATTTTTGCAATAATTTCAAAATGTAGGCAGTAGAATGAAGAAACCAACATGAATGTGATTACTCTACCGCTGAACAGTACAGATGTTTCATAATTTGTTATAATAGCTTTAAATGCCTTCTTCATGTTTATTTTTCCCTTTGTTGTGATGCTTGCTGTCTTGCATTTCCGTTGTTGCTAAAATTTGCCCTGCACAGTACCGAGGACTCCAAAGAGTGTAGGGCGGCATTTAAAAATATATTTAATCAAAATGTATAATTTTGCGGCTATCAGAATACTAATCATTCTTATAAAATTTCACTTAAACAGGTTACCTGAGCCCAATATCTCGAAGCTACTCATTTTGTTCAACAAACAGTCCCAAACTAAAATATTTTTTTCCCCCAATAATGAAAAAAACAAACTTGAACCAGAAACTGTTTTTCATTGCTGCTTGATCAAGTTATAATTACCGAAACAATCGATGATTATTGATTTCTAAATCAACTTATGAAACGTCAATAAACCTAGTAATTACTTTAGTACTAAAAAGACTTAAAAACCTGTAACATTCCTAACAAAGTTTAACCTACTGCAGCATCCTTACCATTTTTAGTATTAGAGACAATTCATGCCACTGGCTACAGAGCATGTTCTTAACTCTATTTGATGACAAAAGTCAGCCTGCCTTTTTTGCTTTGCGGACTTATGAGATTAAAAACCTCACATGTGGCTGCCTCAGGACAGCCATATCAGACTGGAATCAGATACACGCATCTCAAAGGAGAGCTCAGTGACTTCTTAATGGACACTTTCCCCTCGAGTAAAACACATCTATTACAGGACGGACACCTTCTTCTCAGATAAAAATTTATCTATCACCGCAGTGAGATTAAAGAATGAAAGCCGAGGATATGAAGCCACTTGTCCTGAGGGTCTCCTGTGAACAGGCACCGCTCGGCTTCAAACCGCATACTTTGTGTTGTGAAACAGCTGAAATCATGATGCAACAGGACTCAATAGCTTTGGAGTGTGAAAGAATACAGCAGCAGGGTAAAAAGTTAAACCGAAAACACAACTTTTTTGCTTTCTGACGCATAGTCAGATCTTAACTTTCAATCGTGATTTCAAGCTTTATGACAAATTTTCTTCTCTGCAGCTTAACAACCACTCGCTCAAAGGCATTACAGACGGCAATTGAGGAGGACGATAAAAGGAACACCGAACACATGCAGGCATCTTTTTTTATTCGTCATATCTCTTCTGCCTGAGTCAAAATATGGAACGGTATTAAAAAGAGTTCACAACCTCCCACCTCCCTGCTGGAAGGCTTAGCAGTGCAGACAACTTGGCTCATCTTGGAAAAAAATGCCTGGCATGAAACTCTGGCTGAAGTAGAGCAGGTATTGACAAGCTGAGGATCAGTCTTCCTACACTTCGTAATCCTCCTCCCAGATATTTGTTGTTTTGAGAGTTTCAATTACATCGATGTTGATATTCTCTTGCTCCCAAAAGTATTGTGATGGATGCTTCTTGACAAAGGACTGCAAACATGAAACCAGGTTCACTACTAAACAAATTGGCATGCATAACCTCTTACAGCAGCAGTGGATTTCCACCTATCAAGCTTGAAACCCTTGAAAATGAGTCAAATTCAATTTTGACTGCTTTGAAAAGTTCTATTTTTTAGGAGTGGTGAGCACATGAAACAAAGCGATCTACTTTTTAAGCCATGCAGAAAGTGGTTCTATGTACGAGAGTCCATTAACAAATTTAGTCTAGACTGAAATATCTCAACAACTGTTGGATGAGTTGCTTGGTTATAGAGTTATAGTGGATCTATGTATTTAGTTTTCAGATTGGTAAAGGAACTGACTTTTTCATTATGTGGATCCAGAAGTCAAAGTTGTCATGCATTCAGAAGTTCTATTGATGACCCAATGCCTCAAAAGCTAATACTGCTACCATCAGCTTTAGCTGTACTTAGTGCCGATTAGCAAAGATTAGCATGCATTCACGCAGCCCATTAACATTGGGACCTTAATTGGAAACAAAGCACTACTGTGTATACTTTGTTTTTAACGTTTAGCTGGAAGCCCCACTACGCCTTAGTATAGCCTCACAAAGCTGCTAGCATAGCTGTGAAGAGGTAAAACCATCCTGTCTTCAAAAACATAAAGCTATGTCTTTAGAAATGTCAATAAGATTCAAAACATTTTTCTTTAAATTGTTGAGCATCCTGTTAGTCCTCTGATCTAGTGTTTGGCCTCTTGTTGGCTATAAATATCCAGGTTTGAAACAAGAGATGCATTGATCTAACAAGCCTTATCAGTATGTTCCCCATTACAGGAGTAAGTTGTTTGCCATGACACGACCCCGTCCACTTTATGTATCGAGCAAGTTAAGTAACTTCATAAAGCTATAATGGTCTTTTGCACTAAAGCTATTTCTGGCCCATGTTTCCCGCATGACAAATACTGTATGCCAGTTAGTGGTACAGATTTTAAATAAGGTAAAAAGGGTGCAATGGAGTATAATTAGTACTCTGTATCTGGATTGTTGCACATAATAACCAGGACAATGTTAACCCAACCAGCTGATTTAATCAGTAATTTATTGTACATTAAAACATTTCCCACAAACCTTCAGCAGCAAAAGCACACAGGAGTGTGTTTACACAATGATGGGTGCACAGCTGCCATCACCAAAAGACACAATCATCATTATAATCATTACAAGTGTCATAGTTATCATCATTATATAATCATATAAACAATAAGCATCACCACCAGGAACCCAACACCACATCCAAATAATCTCCTTCTTCATATTCAAACAGACTCCACTGAAGTCTGTGACCATGCAAACTGGGGTCAAATGTGACTTTTTAGATTTATCATGAAAAAAGAAAAACAACCTGCTTAACGGGTGAAACCTCATGGAAAAATCTAGACTGTGTAAATCAGAGGGAAGAGAAAAAAAATAAAACAATACCAGTCATGATTGTCTAAACCTTCAACTTAATAATTATGCTAAACTTGTTGTTCAAAGCAGTTTTTTTTCTGAGTTACATGGAAACATTTTCTGACAAAATTCCAGATAAAGGACTGCTCTACAATTTTTTCCCGGCATTGTCATTCAGAAAATGTTTGCTTTGTGCAGGTCCAGGCTAGTTAAAACATCATCAAGGGTAACTTGCAGGTGTCAGAATTTGACCCAAGTTTGCATCATACTGCAAATACCGTAATCCCATCCTACAAAACAAGGGCACTGCCCGGAGATTGAACAACACAGACAACACACATACAAATGCAAAGATGTACAGAGGCAAATAAAGGGGGGGGGGGGGGTTGGGTTAAAGACTAACCTGTGAAGTTGATCTTAAAGTATTTTGTAATAAACACTTTTGGCCACTATCTGGGTGTGCCTGGTCAGCCAGATGGACCTTATTGAGGGGCACTAAAGCTGGATTTAAAATCTAGCTGCAAAAACACACCCGCCCATTCACACAGACACGCACACTCAAACTGGATCTCTCTGTATGCTGGACTTGGCTGAGCGACAGGAGACTCTTAGGAGCAGATTCTGCAGGACTTGTGTACAACTGCTGATAAACAAGAGCACTCGAGGCACATGGGGGTAAATAAATACATGGGGGCAGCCTCATGGGGTATTATCAGTGATTTTTGTCATTATGTAACACAGCGACAGCCTGGGGAATGCCAGTCGCACAGGGATAGTACATTAATGTGCCATTCAGTCCATCGTTTCATCCTTATTTTCCATGATGATTACCATTTCCCAAAAACGTACAGGATACATTTGTATACATGCATGATATGATTCAAAATAGGAGAAAACATGTGGTTTTTGTAGTTCTAGGAATGATTCATCTCTGATCTATCAGATTTTGACATCTGAGTAGTTAAGCTTTTACACTTAGAGGTCTAAGCCTCACAGAGTGACCTGCTTTGACAGAATGATTTAATCTTATTTTGATCACAAGACAAAACATGACTGGATGCAGAAATGTATTTGTACTCACTGAATGCACAAGTGTCAGAATAGCCAAAAGGCTAGCATCCTCTAAGTTTTGGGAAGCAGTGGACACCTAAGCCAGCATGATGAGATACTTGCTTTGATAGTCTAATGACAGACATCCAACCACTTACAGCAGCGTATTTTCAGACAATCTCAAATTCCAAACAGACTGTCCTCCCACATTTGTGAAGGACTTGAAAGTGGCCAGGACGGGCATCCTATGATCAACTTTGTTTTGGATGACACAGATATTAGCTGGTGCACACAGAACAAGAGCTTTCCTCATTTCACAAGGTGAAGACTGAACTCGCATATATGGACGAGACCTGCAGGAGAAACCAAGATTGTGATCTAACACAGAAGTGAACCAGACTTGACAAGTTAAGGATGGCCAAAGAGAAGCTGAAAAAAAGAGCAGAGTGCTGTCAATCACATTCAACATACGCAAAGCCAACTGTACAGCACAGAGTGTGAGAGAGGAGACATCAAGTCTGATAGGCCTACAGCTTGATAAGGAGAGTGGTGCCCGCTGGGAGTGTGCAAGGTGGGCCTGGGACAGTCACTTTAGGAGGAGAAATCACTCTTTTCTTTTTATATCACTGCCACAGACCCCGGAGGAGCCCAGGGGTCCCTTTGTCTCCATTTAGTGCCATGTTTTTAGTTAAAGATGCTGAAACTAGGCTCAAGTGCAGGCCATCATTGTAAGGTCGTTTCAAGCCACAAAGAACAGCACAGGTTTGAAGAGCAACATCGAGCACGATTCTTAACTGATAAGAAAGAAAGAAACATTTCAAACACCCTAATGAAGGGATTGTTGAAGTGGAGTTGTATGAGGTAACAATTGAAATTCAGAGAAACTATGTAACAGCAGATCATAGCTGTGTTGGTACTTTAGCCTGCTTCTTCAGGGGCCATGCTGACTGTCATCTATTGCCAGTGACTAATGAAAAGTACCTCACACAACCCCTTTTCCAAAAATCCTACCTAAGCATTTTTAAATTAAATTGTTCAACATCTTTTTGAAATCTTAGAGTCCTGTGAATTTGCCTATTTTGTCATTTGTCAGGACAATCCAGACCACGGATGCTTGTGGCTCTTAGAGGCGTACAGTGTTGATCCGCAGTGGCTGCACGTTCTTGCCGTTGGCGTGACTCTGACCCGGGCTAAAGTACGGGAAGAGCTTGGCGGGGAATTTCTCCCTGTAGGTGTAGAGCCAGGACATGTCGTCTGCATTGTAGAAGATGAGCAGGCCTTTGGGGTAGTCCAGGTAGACCCCCACCTTCTCCAGCTTGCTCTTAACGTTCAGGCGGGTCCAGGGCTCTGTGCAGGCGCTGTACTGGTTTCCGTCATGCATGACGATGCAGTAGAAGCCACGGGTTGGCTGGATCTGGATGCTGCCCTTGCGGCTGACGGACTCGTTGGCCACCCCGATCATCCACTGGGTCTTCTCCGACACCATCACCTCCCAGTAATGCACGCCTGACACAAAGCCCTCTGCACCCAGGACAGACACCTCGACATCAAAGCGGCGTGGGGAGTCCTGCAGAGGCTGTGGATGGAGATTCCCGTAGGCCACTATGGTACAGTCATCTGAGAGGATCAGTCTTTGGTGGGCAGTGATGGGGTCCAGGGTCAATGCTGCTGGGACTGTGGAAGGAGGAGGGAGAGGAGTTAGCATTTATTTGACTCTGAGATTTAACACTGTAGCAAAAAAAAAAAAGACGCATTAATATGTTATGACTCAACTTGGCCAAATAGATGAGAACTGCAGTGTCATTTTGAGCACCTCATTTTTCTTTATCTTACAAATGCTGTGAAGCTGAGCTTGAGAAAAATACATCCAGGCAGCTGGGAAACCTTACAGAAGAGGAGGGCTCAAGGTTACAAACTAACCTTTCTCTGTACTCTCCCTGTGGAACAGGGCAGTAGATTAACCACAGGCAGTAGATGATAGAAAGTATTTTTGTTTTGACCATTAGGTAACTGAAAACGTTTCCCCACACCCCCTCAGGTTTTCACATCTATAACTGAGCTTTCTGCTTTTACTTGAAAAGGGAAACCCACTCAGAAGTGTTTCTGACATCCATCTCTTGTGACTCACAGAACAGATGCAATTCCTTTTTAGTGAAGGTGTCAATCAATACTGGCTACCTGGGAAATAAACTAAATGAATAGTAATGCAGCTTTCTTCCTGTCTTCTCCCTGTAGAGCCAACCTGTGAACTATTTTTGTCCAGTAAATTCTGCTGTCAGTCATCCGCCCTGTCCAGGACTGCAGCAGCTGCACTGCTGAGATAGAGCGCAAGCATTCAAGTCAAGCTTTTAATCTGAAGTCCCAGAAATACAGGTTAATTACATTTCATTTTGAATACTTTAAGAATCAAAACGTGACTTCATTTTATAGTTTTTGAGTAATTGGGGATTAATCTGGTGGTTCCGACCTTGAAGACATACAGGAAAGGGAGAATGAGGGGGGGATGACACACAAAGTTTCCTGCCAATTGAATCATGGTTGAAATGGTTTCATTATGGTAAATATATTTCTAGAAAATCTCATCAGAACAATCTTGTTCCAGGGTAATATTCCCTCTGAATTTTCTAATACTATTGTACTAATACACAAACATAAGCAAGTGCTTATGAAGGGAAATTAGCTATATTAATACAATTTAAAAAAAGGTTTTCAAGGAGTGAAGGTATTAATGTTAAAATACATTATTCAGATGTGTCTTAAGTTAAACAAATAAAACCAAAGTAAAATGACACCAGAGGTTAGTGAGAAAATGTTTTTAATTTTTAATTTTTTAGATAATTGACCCCCAAAGACCAACATGGTGAAAACAAAACAGTAAATCATCCTGCCAGAGTTAAGAGGAGGTGATCAAAGCGATGCCCTGTGGTAAAAGATGACTGATGGCTTGTCATCTTATTGGTGTGCTCAACTCCTATTTCAGGAAAATGCAACATAGAGTTGTGCAATAAGTGTGACTGTGTACACCACCATACATTCTTTTATAATGTATTTTTATACCTTCATGCATTAACTATACTCTTACAATCTGTGCTTTCCAGACAGACTTTGTTTGGGTGGAGCTGCTCCAGCTCACTCCACAGGCTCTGGGTCGGTAGGAGGCAGTTTTCTGTGTGCAGTTATGTGGTTTTGGGGCGGGAGAATCTGCAAACACGTCTGCTTATTAGGGAACCATATCAGGCTGAACAATAACAGCTTGTTCTCTTGGCTCTCTGTCACAAAAAGCAGACACAGGAAACAGCGGGCAAGGGCATTTTTCCAGCTCCTCTGTGTTATATCAGCTTGGATAAATGGAGGTGAAATGTCTGGCGTCTTGCCAGCGAGCAGGACATTTCTTCCTCTCGTCAATGACATCGCCAGTGTTTGTTACAATCAAGTCATTAAAATTTCATAACCTGAGTGCCTCTTTGTGTCATGGAGAGAAACCTGCAATCATGCACACATCATTGGAGAAACTATTTTTTCCTGCTGAGCATAAGAGGGGGAAATAACAGCAAGGAGTCTGGTAGTTATTCCAGCTAACCCATCAGTGACAGCGAGGGATGAGGCATAAGGGATGATGGGAGGAATGTCTTTATTTTGTCTCTGGCAACTGCTGGTAATGGATCATAACCAATTGTTCCATTTGGCAGCTAGTCAAGGGAGGCCAGAAAGCTGCCTGGCCTCCCAGCTACCGGCAGCAGGCTGAAATGAGAGAATTGATTGAGGGAGTAAGAAATTCCTCAGCACATTATTTTAAATAATCTCCAGTGAGTGAGTGATGGCTGTAGGGCAGAGGGAGTGGAGCTCCTCTCTGTGCTGTCAAAAACAAAAGGGCATCGCTGCCCTGCAGGACCCACCACCATTTCTTATCCGAGGAGAGAAAAAAGGCTCAAAGCATCCCAGAAATTCGTATGAAAGGCAGGGCTAGTTTTGCTCTTCATGTTTCTGAGTCAGACATTCGGCTTCTGAACAAAAATGAGATCATGCATTTTAAAGGCGCAGTTACACATTTTGGAAAGAAGATGACTCTGATGTCAGCGTAGCTTAGCATTAAGAATTGAAAAGGAAAATCCCTGTAACAGCACCTCTAAATTAACACACACACACAAAACCTGATTAATTGGAAGAGATACAACTTCTTATTAGAGAGGTGCTGGTAGGAATACTTTGCTACATTTTGACAGAACTAGGCTGGATGTTTCCAGCACTTATGCTAAGCACAGCTAACTGGCTTGATAACAAGACAATATTTGTCTTTTCATCGCATGCTGAAAAGAAAAAAAAAAACAGCTTCTTTCACACCTGCAGTGCCCTACACCTGATGATCAACTCCACCAGCTATAATTAACATCATCAGTCCTCCCCATAATATCATCATTTTCGTTTTAAATGCGACTATAACACTTATAATTATAATGATCAGTCTATTATCCTTACTTTGCTGTTCCTGCTAATATTACACTTACTTGTACCATTATTATTGGCATTGTAGAAATATCACTGTATTACTTCTTGTTATTGTTTCTCTGTTTGTTTATCTCTATCTTTCTTTATCTCCCTCTATCCCACTTTCCAAGCCCTACACAGTCGCAGCAGCTGACTGTTCAACACGAGTCTGGTTCTGCTCTTGTTTTCAGCCTGTTAAAAGGATGTTTTTTGGGGCGCCAGTAGCCTAGCAGTTAATGTGCGTGCCCTATAAACAGAGGCTTTGTCCTCAAGAGCGTAAAGGCCGGGTTTGAATTCAACCTGTGGCTGTTTTCCCGCATGTCTTTCCCCACTCTTTCTCTCCTCCGTTTCTGACTCTATCCACTGTCCTGTCTTTAGAATATAGGCCAAATAACGCCCAAAAATAAATCTTTAAAAAACTGGCACTATAACTTTGCTAAATGTTGCCAAGTGTCTTGCTCAAGATGGATTCATGTTGGGTGTCTGTAAATAATATAACAAAGAGTACATTCTAGACCTGCTCTTTTTGTGAAGTGACTTTAGATAACATTTGTTATGAATTGTTGCTATACAGAAAAAAAAAACAGATTGATAAATGGCAAACTGTATATATATGTTTGAATTACATTCATTTCATGATACGTACCTGGTGTGATATCCTGGTAAAGCAACTTCCATATCGTGTACTGTAAGGGCCCCATGTACTTAGATGTCGGGAAATCTTCATACGTCAGATTGGTCTCATGTATCTTCCCTTTAATCCTGGAACATGGAAAAAAAAACAGATCAATAACAGTCTAAATCCAATTTGCTGCTTTTTACAGATAAAAAGTGGCTTGTTAAACCCACAAAGTCAATGATTTAAGTAATTATTCTAGTTTGTGTCTTTGAAATGAGCCATTATTGACATACAGCAGCTGACAAACCGCTTTATGGATCTCCAGTAGCAGAGATGAATGTATCAGAGGGATGGAGGAGGGTTAGGCTCAAACACTATTACATTACGATTCAATATGAACCTCCGCATGAATCACTCAGTGCACTCCTACGTGTGGTTCACACAGGTCATGCAAGAAACTGAGTGGGTTACTTATCACATTTAATTCCTCAAAATATCAGAATGTTGACAAATGAACCTTTCAATTTGTGCAGACAGTTTTGGTTAGTAAGAGTGTGTTGACTGAATAAGTTAAAATAGAAAAATTATTCAGCGCTTCTTTTGGTGCTTTTCAGTGGATGACCCTGAGTAGCAAGGCAGTTTTTCTTTTGCCAAAGTGTGACTTTTTTAACACTCTGTTCAGTTTATCTTAAGTATAAAAACATCTAATTCATATAGAACAAACATGTTCATTTTTGATTATTCTTTAATCAAAATAGCTTCTTTCAATCTTCCTGAAAAACAAATATTTTTAGGACTCATTAAACTTGAGGCCATAAACATATATGTATCTAACTGAGTGTCATATTGGGTAACTATCAAACCCCTCATGTCATATCAAACTAGACTTTGAGTTAGTAGCTAAGCCTTCTTTTTATGTTTAGGGTGTTAAGGGTAAAAAAGACGACCAGTTCTTAATGCTGTCTTTTTTTCTGAAAGTCTCCTGCAAGAGCTTTGGATTCATTGAAAATAAATGCATATATCCTATTTGGAGAAAAAGAAGGAGTGAGACTAAGAATCTGTTGCAGGATTCATTACAGTTTTGGATACCAAATGCTACAGAATATGCTAAACATTGATCCTCAGTAAAGAAGATATTGGAAGTTGATACAGAGCCCTGATCGTCTCAGAATGAAATATGCATCGCTCAAATACCTGCGTCTCGTCCTGCTGAAGAAAAGATATTAATGTTGTGACTTTGTAGTATTTTTTATAGAAGAAGGCATAATTCTTTATTCTGTCACTCTTACTAGTTCTTGAGTCCGACTCATTATCTGTTCTATTAAACTGTTCAATTAAATTGTCCTCAAGTCCCTCCCACCTTCCCCAACCCCCAATATTAAACTTTACTGCTGCCTTCTTCCAGGCCTAATTCACCTTCTGTTCTGGGATTAAACGACGCTGCTGCTCAGATTTGTCTTTCTCCAAAATGTAAGCTAGCCTTACATTTCAGAATGGAAGAAAACACATGCTGTCAATATAAACAGCATTTTTAAAGTGTTGATACTACACCTAAAGAGTTCATACAACTTCACAATTCTGTCTATTAACTCAATGGACTTCAAGCAAGCAGGAGGAGCACCTCTCAGACGTGACAGCCACTCCCTCCAGGAAGTCGTGACGCCCAGTCTCATTGAGGCGCTCCTGCAGGATCTGGATGCCCTCCTTGACATCTCGCAGCTGCTGGCTGTAGCGCTGGATCTTGTGCTCGATGTCGGACAGCTTTCGGGCAGTGTCCGTCTCCAGCTCCTCCAGCATGCTCTTCTGACGCTCGCGTAGGAAGCGGTGAAGGCGCTCGAAAGCATCGCCGATGGTTGCTCGCAGACTCTTGGCTGAGGACTGAGGGCAAAAAAAAAAAGGTGGTTCACTTAATAGAACCCTCAGCTGGGATATTTATAACTGCCATTACACGCCTGTGAAGTAGACTACGTACAGTATTTAGCTCAGTTTGTTTGAGTGTTTAAGTCCCAGAGGCCTGACTCTTCATGAGACGTGGGTCAGAAATACAAGTGCTTACTGTATAAAGTGCTCTAAATTGTGTTCATATTACAACATTTATTCATTGATTCAGCTTGTGCATGTATTGATTTCAAGTGTCTCCACTAAGAAAATAAAGCAGCTTTTAGTGAGGTACAACAAAGACGATACAATTACAACCATTATTAATTCACTTAAATAATCCATCTGAAGAAATGTAATAGCCTAAGACGTCAAAAACTGGTTGATTCCATCTTCTTCAATGTAGGAAGTATCTGCTTTTATTCTTTTTGTAAAAGAAAAGTCTTGGTTTGAAGTGTTTGTAAGTCAAAAGAGTCAATTTGAAGTAACCAGGAAATTACATCAGGATTTAAAACAACTTTCTTGGATCTTCATACAAATGATTTATCAGTTAAATTATTCCAGTTGAATCTGAAACCAGAATCTGAAAAGCTGTAAGATGAAAAGAAAGAGTTCACTTTGAAGAAGTAATGCAAGAAGATGACGGGTTGGAGGTGTCAAAGGACATCCTGACCTGTGGGTGAGGACATCTGATAACAAGTCCGGCAGGAGAGCTGAAGCTATTACAGATAGAGCCGAGCAGTTTGCAGGGGTACGGCAGACTGGGAGATGAAGACTTTTTTAAGGAACTGATTTGTAGCTGAAAAAGAAAAATGGGAAGCTGGACTTCAAAAGGAATGAGTCATCTGAGTTTTAGCAGTCGTCAGAGGCAAAGAACAAAGGAGCCGGATGTGAAAACCCTGCAAAACTCGCACAGAGAGGCGAGGGGAGGCTTCTAATCTGAAGTTTCAGAGGGAAACAAAGACTGGACTTAATTCAGACTGTTTTGCTTACAGTTTCCTGTCTTTCCATAAAAGCCAAACACCGGCTCATCAAAGCTCAAGATGAGATCATTAATAATGCCTGAATCCCAGTAAACTCATCCTTGAAAATTCAGGTAAAACTTTTATATTGGGCTTAGTTGTTTTTCAGGGATAGCTGGATTCAGGATCTCTGATCTGAGGTTTAATTACACAATGGGATTGTTCCTCTTGTTCATTCAGAGAGCAGATATTCTGCCACTGCCTGTGGAAACCTAATCTATTCTCTCCGCAAGCCTAACCCTACCCCAGCCCTCCTGCCTAGTCATCACACTGATGGTATGGAGGAGGAAGAGGAGAAAGATTGCAGCAGTCTTTCTGTGACGTCTCTGCAGCGTTGGCCCAGCAGGGTGTGATGGCACTGAGAGGCAGTCTGCAGCCCTTGGAGACAGGAGGCTGACTACCTCTGAAGGAGGCATGTGATTATGAAGCGAGTACCCGTTGGGCATGTGAATAAGACACAATGTGTATCCTTCAGAAGGAGAAGCATGCAATGCAGAGGACTCAAATTGGAGAGTAACCCAGGTGCATTCAATCATTCAATGGGAGGATGAGAGCCGGGCTCACCTTAAGAACAGATGTCAAAGAAGACGAGCATTTGATGCATCAAAGTCTGCTCTTTACATGTAAAAATAAGTTGTTTGTTGCCCCAGAGGAAGCTGCAATAAAATCTGTAAATGGCCTTGAGTGATATCACTTGAGTCAGTATTGATTGAGAATGAAAAAAAAAAAAAGTTTTGGGAATGAATGAAGGTTGACAAGATGGGGGCTAACCAGACCTCTGCAGTCTCAACTCAAGGCTACATTAGCCGCTACTCACATAATCCACCTGTATCGAAAAGTCAACAGTATAGAGTTGCATTTTTGGTAATGTAGGTGCCACTTTTGACAAGGAAGAAGAATGCATGGAATTTAAAATAGCATTAATTCAGGGGTTTTGCTGGTTTGTGTTTTTTCCTCCATGTCCAGTGTAAGTTTGGCCATGTTAGGGGCATGAAAATCTAATATGGAGGAGTACTCTTGAAAAAAAAGTGAAAACAAAGCAAAAAAAAAAAAAAACTCCAGGCCAACTTAGATTAGGTGAGATGAAGAGATGAAGGGAGACATTTCATTTTCAGCCACCTAAATGCATCAGAGATCAATGAGGTCACAGTGTGGCTCTCTTCCAGGCAGAGCACTCTGTGCAAATGGATGTAAATCTAATGAGATCAGCCCATTTCCAGTGAGGATATAGATATAGGCTGAAAGGCCTATATCTAGCAGGCAGAGTGAGTCAATACATTTCTGGAATGGACAGGCCCTGGAGGGTTCTTCAGTGCAAGACTTAGAAAGGAAAAATGACTGATGCTGTGACATCAGACGGCGGGCAAGAAAACAGGAGAAAGGAGAATGTGTCCCCTAAATGACAGCAGCGACATGGTCTTTGCCAGAGACGCCGCCCTGCTCAATAGATTTGATGTCTCTACAGGAGAGAAGGGAGAGGGGTGTGTGTGTGTGTTGTGTGGATGTAGGAGGGCGGCTCAAGGGCTGACACATTGAGTGGACCCTGGTGGTTTGCTGATTAAAACAAGGTGTCAAGATTACACAGCTCAATAAACCAATTTACTTTGCAGGGTTCTTAGACATTAGACTGTTTTTTAATGACTTGTTTTACTTAACCAGTATTGCAATCTCCAGTTTGTTGTTTAAGATGCAAACAAGGATGTCATGTTTCTGCAAATATCCACACGTCTGTTATAACTTTTAATGCCATTTGTTGGTGTTTAACTACTCTCTCCTTAAATCAAACCACATGTCCTTATGCTGGTGAGGACATCCTTATTGTTGTTTTTTTTTACAGGAAATAAACACCTCAAGATTGAGTTCTTTTTTAGAGCAGAATAACTAACTTTTTTTGGATTGTTTGTACTTATACTATTCAAAGAGCTATCTTTGGATTTAACACTTTCAGGAGTATTCTTTTTAATTTAAAGACTTGTTCTAATCCTAACAATGACTCAAGAAAATATTCACCAGATTCATCAATCGTGAAGAAAAAAACAAAACTCTGACAGAAGATATTCAGCTGTCTATCACATACTATAAAAGAGCAGCTCGTGTTGTTTTAGTAGCAGGACCTTGAGAATATTTCTTAAAGTAAGAACAAAGCTTACAAGCTCTGGACACTGTGCATCACGGAGCTCTGAGGTTCATCACCCATTTCAAAGCCCTCGCTCATCACTGTTTGTTGTATGCACGTGTTGGATAGACTTCTTTGTATACTGGCATATTCTTATCTACAAGTCTACTTTAAGTCTGCTTCCTTCAAACCTTCTGACCTACATCAGTCAGACTGATTATTAATCACAGTGATTTATAATCTGCCATCCCACAACCTTTTCTTACCGTCTGTTCCAAAAGTCAGAATTGAACTGGGGAAAAGGGTGTTTAAGTGTGCTGTTCCCTTTTCTTAGAGCTGAAATTTAACAAGCTGCTCTCATTGGATGCTTTAAAGAGGATGTCAAATGAACATCTACATCTCACATGAGGCCGTAGATGTTCTCCCTGACGTGATGGTGGATAATCTTGACAAAACATTTGCTGTTTGTTATTTGTGTCTTTTACTGTCTAATAATGTTTGTTTTTTTTGCATTTGCATGCTTGGCTGCTCTTTGTTTGTGTGAAACTCTGTAGATTCTGCTGCTACCTGTCATGGCCAGGACGCTCATGAAAAAGAGATTTTTAATACCAATGAGTAATGATGCAAAGTTACTTTCGTGTGATATTTCAGTACCTTGGTCTCTGTAAGCTGCCTTTGCAGAAGCTGCAGGGCCTCAGTGTGTCCCTTCTCACTGTCCTGCAGGGTGGCCAGCTGCTCCTTCATCTCCCTCTGCAACACAACAACAAAGACAACCAGCCATTAGGAAGACAGTTCAACATAAATGAAGAAAACAGTCAGCAATGTTTGATCCTCTACTGTAACACCCCTTCACTTTATCTAAAACTCAAATACTGTCTCAAACCCATCTGCTTTGCATAAAGTAATGCTCAAGTTATTTGTCCACATTCTATTTGATTTATTATAATTGTTTTATTTGTGTAAAAGCCCTTTGCATGTGCTCAAGGCAGTAAATTAAGCCTCGGCTACAAAACAAGCAAGGCAGATGGAGGGAAAGATATAAAAGAGATGAAATAAAACCTCTGGAGATGGTGAGCTGTGTCAGAGAAAAAAAACTGGGTCTCATCTCTCGTCAGGCACACGCTGGCAGAACCTGCACCACTCAGCCACCTCTGAGTCTCCCCAAGGCGGGAGAGGGGCTCAGTGGGAGCTGACTGGGGTGGCTGCTGTCACGAATAGTGCAGAGTTTTTATGCAGGTTTTCTGTGCCAACAAACACTGGTGCACTCAGATTTAGCTTTTGGGAAAGACGTGGTTCAGCAGACATCCTCCCTGAAGTGGAGACTTATTTATTCAAACGTGCAAAGAAGTCATGGTACAGCTCTGCAATTTATTCATCAGTACCTGGTTTTAGTTTTCATACCACGAAAAGAAAGAAAGAATGAGGCTGGATGGGACTCATGGTGGCTCTTGTGAGAATAACAAACTAGTGAATTCTTCAGCTAAACAACACTCTTGCTAGAGTTTAAATTTTTGTTCCAAATGTGTAATAACATGAAGATGAAAGAAAATAGACTATGACATTTTGCATCAAACGATACAGCGACACCTTCAGCTTTATGAACAGCTTTGTGAGGCTGTACCTAAACACACGTCTGTTTTGATATTTTACACGCTATCATCACACAGAATTACAACGCTAACACAGGGATCTTTGAACAAGTATAATGTTTACAATGTTCATAAACTAAATTGTTTTTTTAAGTAGGCTAACTTCTTATCCATAGACTGACTATAGCTAAAAGCGTCTCAGTGTTTGTTTTATAGCAATTCTAGAAAGAGCTATTTCAATAATGAACAGAAGAAAACAACTTTGTGTGACCTTCTGAAAGCACTAGACCATGACACAAAGTAAAAGGCAAATCTTACCACACAAGGTAAAAGTTTAAAAAACTATATATAATAATAATATAATATAATATAATAGATACTCATACCTGACTTTTGAGTTTAGATTGCAACACCTTGAAAACATGAATAAATTCAAAACTATGGTCTCAGATAATCATTTTTATTGTTGTTTTGATTAATTTTGGTAAACTAGCTTCCAGGATAGCAGTGTAGGATTGGTATTTCTTCTTTTCATGGGGGACGAGCAATCAATGACAGACCATTGGGGAACTACGAACTTCAAAAAATGATAAAGCACAGAACACAAACATGCCTAAAAAAAGAAACAAAGATATTTTACATCATGGACCCAACCTTCATTAAACTGCTAGGGATTCTGAATCAACCTGATCCAAGCCTTAATGAGCCGGCCAACTATTCAAATCTGAAGGTTTTTCGATTCAGAGAGGGTTAAGCTATCACAATCCAATCTGAACAAACAAATGAGCCACAAATGTAGATTGTTTTACAGAACACAGCATCAACAACACCGTGCACTAGCAAAAACCTCATACTCAAAATGAGAATATACGTGTGCGTGAGGCAGGAAAAAGCAACCTTCCATTTGACGGGATTCGAAGGGAAATTAAATATTGCATCAAAGGGAACAACATGGAACAAGCCTAATTTATTTTCAACCCCCTGTTAAGCCACCACTGCTGCTGGTCTCTCTTCTCATATAACCCGTGTGTCACCGTCTCTGAACACCAGCAGAAATCCATCAAATGAAACTGTCAGCTTAGCAGAGAAACAACCACACCTCTGCTACCAGGCTGACACAAAACCCAGAATAGATCTGCGAAGACATAAATACATAATTATTCAAATATCTCGCCCACAAGGGGGGAAAAAAAAGGTTAATATACCAGTGGAGAAGGATATAGAACAAGCTATGCACTAGTTCATATTGTATATGAAAAAGCTTGACCTCCATTATTAGCTGCTGAATTTAAAAAAAAAAAAAAAAAAGGAGCAAATGTGGGCAGAGGAAGCTCGTTCCTTCTCAAGGGCAGAAACAGTGGAAAACAATGGCTGGTGCAGGAGGAGAGCGTGACTCTCCATGCTAATGATAAAGAGTGCGGCAGGCTCGGTGGGCTCTCCGCCTCATCGCTACGCGCTCGTCTGCAGCAGGTCAAAGGCACACACTGAGACAGACCAACACTGACAGACTGGCAGAGAAAACATGCTCCTCCACTCTCCCCTGCTGCATAGAGTCTGACTGGCCGGGCAAACAAGGGCAACTTCAGCTGTTAGTGCCCTCACGCCAACACTGGAAAAAACCTCTGCAGAATGTCTACTTTAATAGACACTTCGTACACAGTTAGTTTCACATTCTTGTTTGCGCATAAAATAGGCAACAAACCGAAGATTTCCACCAGGTTCCTGTCACTTATTGAACTTGCCACTAAATAGAGAATGTGTGCAGTGCTTAAGCTGAATGTAAGAAGGCAAAGCTGCATTTTAGAAAAAGCAAAAAACCACCCTGGTGTAATCATCTTTACACACTTTTAAAGGCCCTAAAAGCTCCTCCATAACGTGCAATTACATAATCCTCTTTAATCTTCCGGGAAGCGAATGTGCGTCCTTTGAGCATCCTACAGATGGAGATTTGTGCGGAAACAGAGAAAAATGGCACAGCTGCGGTGTCAGTTACCACACATGGACAAGGAATTATAGATCAGATTTTGGATGGGGTGCACTCCAGAGGAAACTCGTGCTTGATGGCAAGAAAAACATTTTTTACGTGACAAAAACACTAATGCTGCAGGTGAATGAATGCTGGTATCAGCCGGGGCTCTGAATCAGAGGTTTGCGTGTGCACATGTGAGTGTGTGTTTGTGCCGAGGTGTCTCTCCTGTCCGTCTCATCTGGCTAACACAAGTCTGACATGACATTTCCCCAGGACATCAAAATACAGGAAAACGGGGGTCACGGCTGGGGGATTATAAATCTAAAACATTTCATCCTGCTGTCACTCCCTTCTTCTTCTTCTTCTTCTTCTTCTGCTCTTCCTCTCATGTCATGTTAGCAACTCTGGCAGATATTTACAAGCTAATAAATGGATGAAATTATAGAATACTAGCCTTAGTTTTTGTGTGAAAATTTGTTCACGGCTTGAAATACCTTGTCCTTTTCTAAAAGCTCTCAACTCGATTACATTCAGCCGCTCGTTCGGGATTTAAAAAGCTTTATTGGCTTCAAACTGTCAGATGGATGAAGCGGCGAACAAAACAAAATGCGGTGTCACAGCATGAATAATAAAAGCCTACAGGGTGGAGAACTTCAACGCACACAAAGCTTTCTGTGATTTCATCCACATTCACCAAGAAAAAACAACCATCAGGGTAATACTTATCTGTTTTGAATGACCAAATGAACACAGAACTCATGTGCTACTCATAATTACACAGGGATCTCTCTCTTCTGTTTATCATTACATAAAGCACAGCTCTCAATAACTCTCAGGTAGCAGACAGGCCGGGATACAAGGACACCAGCCAATAACAAAGCAGTGAAAACACTGCAGCCGTTACATTGGGTCAGGGAGTTTTATAGCTTTGTTCTTATTTAACATGGAAGGGTCTGAAATATGTCGTCCACACCCAGACACAGAGTCACCGGGGGCAACAACACTCGGGACGTTCAAGGCCGGCTGCTGAGATATTACAAAGGAAGCAACACACCAGTGTGCACACAGGCTATGCACCCATCACACAGTAAATCCACTATATGTTACTCAACATAATGTTTCTGTACACAGCCGATATGAAGGTGGCTTTCCCTCTGCTGCTGCGGTCCTAAAAAGATGGCTAATATCAGTAAAGAATGTCTTTTTAAAAAGCAGACTCAGGTGTAAAATTTACCACAAACAAAGGATTGTGTGATCGTAGATGTTATTCTGTTATTTAACTTAAATGATATCTGTCATTACATTCCAAGTTCTTCTTATCTAAAGGTGAAAAGCAATACACAGCCTCTATGCATACAAGAGCATTTTGTAACCATGGTAACGCATGCTCATCGCAAAATGACTGCAGGGACTTTATATATATATATATATATATAATAAAGGAGTCAAATTAAATGTGTACGTGCGTGTCTTTATTTTCTTCTTCAAATTCTAATGGAACTGCATGTACTGTAGAGACCAACATATGGCTGCACTTGTCTCAACTTCTTATTGTACCAGTAAGTTATGAAGTAATATTGTCATGCTCAGGTCTGCAAGATCTTTGTGACCCCTTACAACATGAAAAATAGTGTTTGTACAGCTTTTTAAGATTGAAATCCAAGCATATCTCAAACACCGTAAAGATTCCATAACCAGACACTTTACGACATCTAAAGCCATTTTCCCTTTTTTCAGCTGCTGCCTTCAGAGGTAATGGTCCAGAATACCCTGTGCTAAAACGAACATAAATAGAAAACCATTTGTCCCTATTGATATATAATATCTAATCAGTAATGATAACTGCTACCTCAGCTCACAACACTTTGTATCTTTCTTCTCAGACTTTTAATGACATGTAGAGCATTAAGTTCATTTTTTTATTTCAGCTTCTGTTATGATTATACGTGAATGTGTTTTTCTATATATCTTGTATTAATTATTATTATTATTAATTATTGTATGTCTTTGCAAAGTGCAACCAAAAGACACCTCTTCCCGTGTACATATGAAGGGTACACAGTAAACTATTTTCTATTCTATTATATATATATTTTTTTTATAAGATTTATTTTTTGGCTTTTTGTGCCTTTAATGGAGAGATAGGACAGTGGATAGAGTCGGAAATCAAGGAAAGAGTGGGGAATGACATG